AACAATACAAAACACAGCTAGTGTAGAAGCATCTCATACATGCAACAATACAGCGTTTAATTATGCTGAAACATATGAATGAATAAAGGCGGCTCCATGTAAATTATATGTAAATAAGTACTGGTAGGCTGGCGCTTGATTTCACGCGCTGAAACTGATCCATCATTAGCGATCATATCATGTCATACGAAAGTTTGTTGAATTCAGTCACAGAATATTTTGTACATCATTAAAGGTGACAAGTATTCTTTTTTTGCAGGAAAGAATATTAATAGTAATTTCTGTCAAATAGCAAAAAGTTGATGCATAAAATGTGAGAGAAAATGTGATGGTTATGCCATTCCTCTGTTCATTTGTATGAAAAGCCGTGTTTAAAATTGAAAGCACGAATATGTACACTGCAAAAAATGGTCAAGTCAATCTTTTCAAGTGAAATTATCTTAATTCTAGTTGATATATCTAATAATTCTTACTCTGAGATGGTTGTGCACTTATAAGATTATCTAACTTATTTCTTTTTACCCATTTTAAGTAATTTTATTAGTAAAAGTATCTCACTACACTGGCAGATAATCAAGGACATTTCTTAAAACAAGCAAAATTTGTTTTTTAATAATTTTATTTAATAGCATTTTTTAAATAATTTTATTTAATAGCATTACTTAAAACAAGTAAAACTTGTTTGGAAATAAGTTAAATAATCTTACATTAAGCTTACAACAATTACAACAGGAGAAATATTAGATATATCGACCAGATTTAAGATCATTTTACTTGACAAGATAATTAAAATCTGCCTTCAACAGAATCACTAAGGGTTACAGTTGCGTGCCAGCATAAGGTCTCATGACATTACAGATTACTTGTAATACTCATTCCTCGCCTTTAGGGTTAGATAACTTCCTGGTACTTGCCTGAGTAAACACGGCTGGGGTCAATGCAGGCAGAGGCAGATCCATTGATGGACCAGGACTAACTCAGAACTATTCAATTAAAGCAATTACTGCAGCGAGCAGAGCACTGAGCTGGAGGAGAATGTACCGCTTACTGTGACTGTCACACTCGTACACAAACAGAGCTCTGTCCAGTTGCTGTTATTCTCCGTAATGGAAAAGTAATTGCTCATGCTCTCAGCAGTGATGTGAGACGAAAGCAAGGAGCTGGAGCTTCGCTCAGAATCTAATGGGAATCTAATGAGCTGGCATGGCAACCAGTTACAGCAGTGGAGGGTGTGTATGTGAGAAGGGGCCTGAGCATTTAGAGACCAACGACAATCAACTAGACGAGGGGTCGGCAACCCAAATGTTAAGAAGAGCAATTTTGTTCTTTAAACAAAAGGCAAACCACCTTGGGAGCCACAACATTTTATGTCCATTTTACCATCTTGGCTGCAAATATGTCTCAGTATGTGCTGATGTATTAGTATATGCTAACAAATTTAACAAACGAAAATGCAGACTTACTTTGCTCTGCTTTAAGCTTGAGCTCAGCTTTTCAAGCATCTCCAGCAGGAAACTTTTCCAAAAGTGGAACAGTTTCTTTAAAATGTCTCTTACCATTCGGTTTTTTTTTTACCAGGATGAAGTCGCTTCTCATTCTCTTCATTTGAAATTTTCTGCTCCACCTTAAATGGTGCAGTAGGTACCATTTAAGGTGGAACAGGAAAATTCGAATAAGAAGCTGGCGAATGAGAAACTGACTTCAGCTTCGTGACTTTTTAGTGTTTGACAGTTTCTCGTTGCAGATTAAACATATCGGGAAACCAGCTGGAGTGATTATAAATGCAAATAAGTCCATTTGTCTCCAAATTATTGATGTTTGTCTTAAATCTTTCTTTTTGCCGTTTCGTTAGCTACTAGCTAGGCAAGATGTTGTCTGCGTTGCTATAGTGACCAGCAGCTTGTGTGCCAACCTTCAGGGTTAAAGGGTGAATTAACAGTTCTACATTAACTCCAGTGTTTAAAGCCATTTATTATTAAAACTGTGTTGAACGATCAGCAGAGCTTTATTTTACTGCAAAAGGAGGATTATTTTATTTTTATCTAAAAATCTGATTCAAATCTGCGGAGCCGCAACAGGGCAGTAAAAGAGCTATAAAATGTACTTTTATAATATTACACTAAAAAACACAAATAAGAATTTATTAGGTTATGTAGGATAAAACTTGGTTCTTCTACTGGGTGAGGGGGTGGGGTTGGGGTTAGGCTTACTGGCGGGCACAATCACCTGCCCTCACAGGTCAACTTTGGCCGGCTCTGAGCTACACATTGGTATCACTAATAAAAACGAGACTGAATGCACCTCACATATGCTCGTAAGTGCTTTTTTACGCATGTTAGTGTCTATGGCTGCCTCACTGCTAAAGTCAGGCAGCATTCCTTTGCACAAATAGAATGAAGACAGCTGCAGTTAGGAGAACATATCATGGGATAACCACCCCACCACACACACATACACACATCACACTAGCGCACACTTGTCCCCGGCCTATATATACACTCTGTATATCCTATATATATATACTCCTATATATATAATCTGTCCAAAAGTATCCAGACAGAGAATTGAGCTACTTTAAGGTGTATGCATTACTGACAGTCATTCAGATGGCACACCCCAGCTTGCATAGTCTCTGTGGAAAACCAAACATCCACCTTTGGGATGAGTTGGAGTTGCATTTGTGATCCAGAACAGATCATCCTGATCTTACTAACATTCTTACGGCTGAATGCAATCAAATCTTCACAGAAATGTTCTAACATCTAGTGTAGAGCCTTCTCAGAAGAGTAGAGGCTGTTACTGCAGCAAAGGGAGGCAAACTCCCTATTAATACCCTTCATTTCAGAAGAAATGCTGGGGGAGCAGGTGTCTACAAACTTTTGGACATACTCTGTAGAGCCTCAAAAGCAAACACACACATGGAGTGCTTTGAGTCCTAGATATATTACTTTAATAAGACGCCTCTTGGAGATGAATAATAGTGATGCTAAATGTGTCAGTACAGACATCATCATCTGGGGTGAAACATGTCATGGCGCTGTCTTTACCTATTACCCTGTTGTCCCATGATTTTTCAAAATTTCTGCATAAATCAATGGTTGAGGTGTAAACAAAGTCATTCAGGGTGGCTTGATGTGGAATGGTTGATTGTAGAGTAGCTGGTTTCTTTACAGTGGTGGTGATAGGAGCCAGTGGGCACAATGTCTACAACACAAATACAGCCATTTTATTTACTAACCAAAACAACCAGTAAACCTACAGTGTTTCAAGCATCAGGCAGTGTATCTGTAACCACACACACACACACACATCTTCTAAGCCGCTTATCCTTCTGGGTCACGGGGGGAGCTGGAGCCTATCCCAGCAGTCATTGGGTGGAAGGCAGGATACACCCTGGACAGGTCGCCAGTCCATCACAGTGCAGACAGACAGACATACACAATCACACCTAGGGGCAATTTAGCATGTCCAATTGGCCTGACTGCATGACTGTGGGAGGAAACCGGAGTACCCAGAGGAAACCCATGCAGACATGGGGAGAACATGCAAACTCCACACAGAAAGGACCCTGGACATCCAGCCGGGAATCGAACCCAGGCCCTTCTCGAACCCTCTGTAACCACTTCATGTGTTTTATATGAAGGAGCTTTTAGACACTTTTATATCGTCTTCTGTTCTCTCTTCCCAGTGGTTTTCACTGACTGCTTCAAATTCAGTTTCGTGTTCCTTGCTGGGAGCAGGGATGTAGTGGAGATTAAACGCATGTAAATGGCATTTACATAACATAGTTATGTTATAACTGAAGTTTGGGGGATAACATGCCTGAAACCCCTGCTTCTTCCAATCTAACGGCCTATAAATTCATATCCTCACCTTCGTTTCTGTGACGAAGGGTTCGCAGTCCCCACCGCCACCCCATCTTCTTCCTGTTCCTCAGTCCTGCATCAGTCCTACTACAGCAATGAGAGGGTCTGGCCTTCGAGCTACAGGCAGAAGCTGCCTATAGTCATTTAATTTGTCAATGTTGGGTCCCAGTATTGTCATGTTCGTGAGAACAACCCAAAGAGGATATAAAGGGGGACGTGGCATTTTAACAAGAGGGTATGATTTTTGTCTCTTTTTTTCACCAGGGGGGTGGCATCCCCTCACAGAGACCCTCAAACCCACCTTAAAGTGCTAGTTGGGTGAAATAATGACACATGAAGACGTACAAGAGGTTACCAAAGAACAACATGAGAAGGAGAACCAAAAAAGTACTGAGTAATTTAGTACATCCAGCATCTACCACCTGATGTGCGTTATGCTCTCTTCTTGTCTTTTAGGTCTAAAACAAATTGAGCTGACATGTGAGAGGCGTGAGCAACAGCAACACAGTGCTGAACAGAATGGAATTAAACAGGAAAAAAGAGGATTAGGAATTAAATACTCTCAAATATATTAAAAATACCAAGAAAAATACCAAGAAACATATGAATGAATCCAGGTTGTGCTTAAATAGGTTAATCACCCTTTAACTTTACTTAAAGGGCCCATATCCTACATTGCCCTCCCCAAAGGCCCCCTTATAACCTTTATGTAGGTCCATTGGGACCGTTTTCCAACCTCTCTTCATCCCTTAGAATTAAACAGGCTGTTTTTGTTACTGTGCCTTGTACATGTAAATGACCCTCTGCTCTGATTGGTTGTCCTGTGTGCCAAAAAGCAGTCCGGGCTGCAACACTGCGTATAACTTAAGCACAAAAAAGAGGCGAGACTAAGCTGCTCCAGGCTGACTAGGCGGACGTATGTAAATGTTTTGGTTTCTGTGACGTCACAAGGCTGCTTTCTTTCATGCAAGTGAGGGGAATTCAGTTTCCCAGGATGTGGGCCCTTTAACACAGTCGCACCACGCTGAATGAAGTTTTGCATGATATTTAAGGGGGGGTGGTCACTGGGGTGGAGCCTCCCACCCACAACACGCCACCTCCCTCCCCACCCCCACCCCCCACCCGGCTGGAGAGTGTGGTAGGTCCACCCCTGCTGCTACAGAGCGGTTCTCAAAGCGGCTCACTTCACCCACAACATTAGAGCCGCTGAGAAAGAGGGCGCGAGCAACACTAACGTTAAGCAGAGGCGAGGACAACCACAGAGAGGAGAAAGAAGCGCTTTGGAAACGCCAAGTGACCCGGTTCTGCAACAACAGAGGAAATAACCAGGAGACTGTGGTGTATCTCTTATCTTCCTGCCGACTGGTGAGCTTTTTTTATTCATGTTTTAGATAATTTAATCTGGGTTGCATCATTAGGAACGTGTGGCTTTTATTTTGGTCCATATATCTATGATAGGTTAGTCATCTTGAGAAAGGACGCTCGTTTGTGCTGCTCCTGGCGTGGAAACTCAATTTACTGTCTTAGTTTACGTGGATAGGCGGTGTTTTTCCCGAGATAGTCTGCTTTTTTTTTAAAGACTTTGGTGCTTTTAGACTGTTTACCTTCTTATTCGCCAGCTTCTTGTTCGAATTCTCCGTTCCACCTTAAATGGTGCAGCAGTTACATTCTGGCGCCTCAGCCTGAGGCGCCAGAATGTAACTGCTGCACCATTTAAGGTGGAACGGAAAGCTTCAGCTTCGTTTAAATGCTTTCCGGGCTGGAAACTACAGCGATTCGAGTAATAAAATACTCTGAAGTCCATATTTTGAGCCCTTCTTGGTCAGTTCTCTGCCTTAAACCGAATCATTTAGACCCTTTTCCTTTGTGTCTTTGTCTATAACTACCCCAACCATGTGGTTTTATCTCTAAAAGAGACCTCAACCTTTAACAAAACGACATAATGTTGCTCAGGACGAGCTCTTTTACACTGAAACTTCCCCTCAGAAAAAGTGTTCTACGCTTTTCCTCAGTATCCTGCAGCACGTGGGGGTGTATGGTCACTCCATCTGGCGGAGGGGGTGCGCGCACGTCAAAGCGCGCTCTCAAACCGGGCTGAAAACGTAGCTCTGGTAAGTTGAACGCAAGAAAGACCAGGCAGCTGTTTTGGATGGGCGATTAGCGACCATGTGCTCTATTCTAATGCTAAATGAGAGAGTCTATCGCCGCGGCGAGCAGACGCGTAAAGGGGTTTTGTTATGGATGAGGGATGAGGGGTTAACCTCTCGATATGAATGGAAGGAACTATTTCCAAGCAGTTACTCAGTGGTTATCCTACGCACAACACTTCACAAGTGCTTATCTCAGCAGTCTGTGCTTTTTGTAGTTGTCAATTATCATAAAATAGTGGAAAAAATGAACAAAAATGTCTTGGGGGACTATTTTGCCTTGCAACGCTCTGCATGTATCCCTCCGCCATGAATTGATTAAAATATATGGATTATGAGAACGTTTTAGGACAAAACTTTATCATAAAACAATGTCTCAGGCATCATGTAGTGTATTAATAAGCATTTTGGGTAGTAACTTTGTGTGAGAGAGCTTTTAGAGGCGTTCAACTCTTCAGACGTCTGGTTCCTATGACCACCACTGTGAACAATACTGACTCAGTAAGGTTCTCTAGGATGAAGCATTTCACATCAGACCATTGAGTGTTTTTATAGCTTAGCCATTTAATTATGTAGAAAATTTGAAAAAGAAAAACAAACTGTGGACTTCCCCTTTAAAGGGCAATCCCACCAACTTTTCAAAATGCCTGTATAATTAAACCTTCAAGATTTAAAGTCATTCCGAGTGGTCTGATGAAATGTTTGGTTCTAGAGAAATTTACCAGGATTAGCATGGTTACAGATACTCAGCCTAGTCCCCGAGATAGTTTTACAAAGGTTTTGAGACAAAGTTTTGTCCTAAAATCTATTTTTTAGGACAAAATCATGATGTAGAGGCACACGCATGGCATTGTTTACCCAATACTACCCAAAGAAAATGTATTTCCTCATATTTTAAAACTGTTCTACCATTTTCAATGCGACAGGTAAAACTCTAGACTGCACATGTAGGTTCACTGGTTGTTTTGGGTAGTAAATAAAATGGCTATATTTGCGACGCCTGGTTCCTATGACCACCACAGTGAAGTATATCTCTTCAATAGAGTCAATGAGTTTATCTACAAAAACACAATTTTACATCAAACCACACTAAATTGCTTTGTTTTCAATGACTGAGTTGTGCAGAAGTTTAAAAAAATAGTATTTAGAGTGCTAGACTTGTACCCCTGTGGTAAGGTTACAGCAGATGGTCAGAGCGTGTCATCTGAGAGGTTCTTCGTCAGCGGTGACTCTGTGGTAGGCCCCTGGGGTCAGAGGTCAGGGAGAGAGTGGGAAGCCACAGTTTAGACATCTAGCATATTTATGGATGTGTTTTAATTGAAATGGCTTATAGCGACCACAAGGATTTGGATCCTCAACATTCAAAACCTGGGACATTATGGGGACACGTCTGCTGTTAATGTTCGGGCTTTGTGTCATTCACATGCACAGCAGTGGAGCAGTATTTATGGTGATGCACATGTTCATGCTTGCTATGAAAGTCCCATTAAACAGGACACGATGTCATCAGCATGAATGGCTCCTGTTTTTTCTCTCATGAAAACTAAAAAACCTGCAAAAGCTTTGCTTTGCCAGTGTTGATTTTGGTCAGTAGTGGCCAGGCACACATTTAGTGTAGATTTTCGCCTCTTCTCAATTTATTTTGGGTCATTTCTTTTGGTCCATTCGTAATGAAATTTACATACAGTGTAAAGAACAACAGGCATTTTCAAATTATGTCAAAAAACTGAAAAACACCAAAAATGGAGATACAAGTTTTTCTTCTGACAGCAGCGATGTATGAAAAGGGCTTAACATTGTTGGGGTGGGTTCGCTGAAAAAAAGACTCCTGAATAAAATGAATGATCGTTCAACATTTATGTGAACTGAAATTCTGGCTCATACTTACCATGAAAGTTCTGTTAATGCAGTGGTCACCAACCCCTGGTCCTGGAGAGCTACCTTCCTGCAAAGCTTAGTTCCAACTACCATTTGCCACACCTGCTCCAGCTAATCAGCCTCTTCCCAAGTCCCTGATTGGCTGGATCAGATGTATTAGAGTTAAGAAAGGGGCGGGGCAGCTTATTGGATACGGGTTGGATCTAAACTCTACAGTAAGGTAGCTCTCCAGGACCGGAGCTTGAGACCACTGCGTTAAACAGAACAGAAAGTCTTGTTAGCAACCTCAGTATGGATGGACAACAGCTCCTTCATTTCTGAATCAGGGACAAAATACAGTCCTGTGATTTTTTTAATTTTTTTTTTTTCCTCATGAAAACAGAAAACTTGCAAAAGCGTCACACAAACAATTTGCTTTGTCAGTGTCGCCTATGTGCATTAGCGGCCATGCACACAAGCAGTGTAGATTTTTATCTCTGAAATAATGTAGAAAATACACAAAAAAATCGCAGGAATGTTCCTCATTTCCAGCTGTAACATTCATGTCTTTGTATTTCCTGGTAATGTATTGGCTCCTGTTCAGAGATGAGCCCTCCTGGGAATTGTACTGTGTCTTGTGCCAAACAAATGCTGCGTCAGCTTTACTTGGATTTTAACACTTGTGTTCAAACTTAACCGCTTTAATTACCATTAAATTCCCTGGTAAAAGTGTATATGAAAGGCATTTAATGTTCTTGGAGTGAGTTAATTGAAAAAGTCTGATTAAAGCGAACAGTTGTTCATCATCAAATTGAACGCAACATTTCAGTGACCTGCAACACTGACTGTCTACCAGCAATGAAGGGACATCATGGGCCCAGCTTGCCAGATCTATAATTCACTCATTTCATCTGACAGTTCACAGTAAGTTATTTTTCTCCTTTTTGAATGTACTCAGTGGGAACTCAGAAGCGCTCCCACACCTGGGAACTGGGGTATCATGACGCGTGACATCAGCTTATCCCTGTTTGTCTGGTGCCGTCATCGCCTCAGACTCTGCCCTGGACGTAAACAGTGGCGCTCACCCGAGATCAACGTTCACGAGCGTACCGAGAAATGAGAAGTCACTGACCCGTGTCTGATAGGTAGGGGCAGCGGCCACGTCCGGTCTGATGAGAAAGACTCAGGTGTGTGGACCAGTTTGAGGCAGTGCGACTGAGCAAACATCACTAAAGTTCTTCCAGTCCTGTTTATTATGATCCCAAACCTGACCTGACCTTGTCGTGTGACGTGTGTTTGTTTGCTTTGGAGTGACAGGTCGGGTCACCTGTGGCGTCGTTGGTGGTTATTTTTAATATTTTTCCACATAGCAGTAGCTTAAGTAATAGCAGCAAGACATGCTGAAAGACGTCATGTGTTCTGAATTTCTAATCTGTGTCTGTTTTTCCAAAAGCGTGGTGTTAAGTTCACCCAGCTCTCAGAGAGCTGATAGCGTGCTGAATTGTTTCTGGGAAGCCAGACAGTGATCTGCGTTCTGTGTGCTTTCTCAAAGCTGTGATTTCCCAGTGCTCTCATACTAAACCGTGGATTATTACATTACGCACCTTTTTTTCTTTGTCTAGGAAGGGAAATGTGGCCTCAGTTGATAATGTGATTGTTTAGATATCTTCAGTTTTGCTGATGAGAAGCACAATAGCTGCCTGTTACCAGACAGTCACATGTCTCATTGGAAGGAAATTCATTTTGTGTTTAACTAAAAAATCTGAACTCAAAACTGTTTATTCTTTCAGGGAAGGAGACTCTACTATTAAGGCTTAAGTGGTGATGTGGGGTTGTGGTGGAGTGTGAGGTTCCTCTTCATCGGTGCAGCAAGGTGTAAACCTGACCCTAGTCTCCCTTAAAAATAAAGGTTCCTAAATGGTTCTTGGTTTGGGTATATGGCTGCACGATACACTCTCAGAAAAAAGGTACTGAACTGTCACTGGGACAGTGCCCCTCTTGTCACTGGGGTGGGACCCTCAAGGTTACATCTCAGTACCTTTAGTCAGGGAACATAACTGAACCATAATCTATTGAAATTATATTCTCTAAGCTGTACTGACTCCACACACCCCGTCTCGTCTCCAGGCTTTTATTTTACTGTTCTGCTTTAAAACATTCCGTTATGAAAAGGTATAGATACGAACTTTTCACCTGGAAAAACTTACTTAAGGTTCACAATCAGACCTTAAAACCACTGTTGTACCTTTGAGGGAACATTTACATTGTTTGTACCTTGATGAATGAAAAATGTACCTGCACAGAACCTTTATTTCTGACAGTGTATGGCAAAAATATAACATTACAGTATTTGAAGACGTTTAAAACTATGCAGTGTAAGATTTCTTTGTTAAAAATTGAAAGAGGTGGCATTGGTCAAGAGAAAAAAACACTAAAATATGGTTTGCATCACCATGTAAAACCTGAAATAGGCGAGGTGGGTTTATTTATGTAGCATATTTCATACACAATAACAAGGACAAAAATCTTAGAAAACGTAATCAAGAGAAAGTACATCGAACGGAATTAAAACAAGGCACTTAAGTGTTATTAAAATGAGCTTATTAAGGGTAAAGTGCAGCAAGAAGAATATTAATTAAATGATGTAAAAGTCAGAGGCGTCAGGTCTGATTTTGTGAGATTTTTCAGACCATGTCATATGTTTTTACATATTAACGTCTCATGCACAGACTCCAAAAGAAGGTCCAGCTCAATGTTTAAGCGCTATTAACACTATACTGATGACAATATGATGGCAATGGTAGACAATTCATTTATATCCTCAGAACATGACGTCCTTTTGACTGAGTTCTCCTTGAATTCTCTTTCAACGCACTTGCAAGCGCAACCGATGTTACGTGTTCTTCCACATGTGCGTGCAATTAATCCCTAAATCTTACATAGTGCAGCTTTACATTTTAAAGAGGTTCTTTACGCTTTTACATCTATTTACAAAAATTCAATCATTCAAAGATTCTTAAGGTTCTTAACTTATCACACTGCTCCAAAGAACCCTTTTTGGGCCTTTGGAAATGAGGTTAAGCTAACATGACACTTTGAGGGAACCC